AATTTTACGACAAGACACACCGCATGGCACAAAAATTAATTATTTTAAATCACGTGTTTTAGATGATACTGAACGTAAATAGGATACAATTGAAAAAGAAGCATTAGCTATTTTTTGGTGCATATCTGAACTTCGATCATACATAGGTGATTCTAGTTTTGTTGTCGAAACTGATCATAAACCACTTGAAAATTTTCATAATAAACAAATCAGTAATAAACGAGTGATGAATTGGCTTTTTAAATTACAAGACCTTTTGCCACAAATTATTGCAGTCAAACACCGTGCAGGTGCAACGAACGCTGCTGCCGATTATATTTCACGACATTTTCCTCCATCAGAATCTACCAACATTAATCCATCTACAATAAATGTAACAAATGATGATTGGCCAATTGGTACTGAACATTGGTATGAAGAAGTACCCAAACCACAACGTCCGTCCTTTATTCAGCAACCTATTTCAAACAACACTTGTATTCGCAAGGCGAACATCAATGCAGAAATTAATGCTGTTACAACAAGAGCACAATCAAAACTTCAAGCTCAACCACGTTCATCTTCAGCAAATACATCACCTACATCTCAATCTACGTGTTCTTTCCCGCCGATGACTACTCCATTGCATGATTTTAGTTTATCACGTATACGTTCTGAATAAGCACAGGACGTAATTATTCAACAAATAATTCAACAAATTCGAAATAATCGTCGTTATGAATCGTTTATTATTCAACATGGTATTCTGTATAAATTAGCTGTCCGCGCTGATACTACTATTAAACTTGTTTATGCACCTTTGAAATTAATTCCAGAAATAATGGCTGCTTATCATGATCATCCATTAAGTGGTCATTTTGGTACCGGACGTACATGGTCTATGTTAAGAAACACATATTATTGGCCACGTATGAAAGAAACAATAATATCTTATATTAAATCATGTGATAAATGTTCACAATTTAATGTGGATCGGCATAAACCTCCAGGATTTTTACAACCTATTCAGCCACCTAATGAAGTTTTTCAAGTACTAGGTATGGATTGGTGGGGACCCACCACCACTTCGCTTTCTGGAAATCGANAACGTAAATAGGATACAATTGAAAAAGAAGCATTAGCTATTTTTTGGTGCATATCTGAACTTCGATCATACATAGGTGATTCTAGTTTTATTGTCGAAACTGATCATAAACCACTTGAAAATTTTCATAATAAACAAATCAGTAATAAACGAGTGATGAATTGGCTTTTTAAATTACAAGACCTTTTGCCACAAATTATTGCAGTCAAACACCATGCAGGCGCAACGAACGCTACTGCCGATTATATTTCACGACATTTTCCTCCATCAGAATCTACCAACATTAATCCATCTATAATAAATGTAACAAATGATGATTGGCCAATTGGTACTGTACATTGGTATGAAGAAGTACTCAAACCACAACGTCCGTCCTTTATTCAGCAACCTATTTCAAACAACACTTGTATTCGCAAGGCGAACAACAATGCAGAAATTAATGCTGTTACAACAACAGCACAATCAAAACTTCAAGCTCAACCACGTTCATCTTCAGCAAATACATCACCTACATCTCAATCTACATGTTCTTCTCCGCCGCTGACTACTCCATTGCATGATTTTAGTTTATCACGGATACGTTCTGAACAAGCACAGGACGCATTTATTCAACAAATAATTCAACAAATTCGAAATAATCGTCGTTATGAATCGTTTATTATTCAACATGGTATTCTGTATAAATTAGCTATCCGCGCTGATACTACTATTAAACTTGTTTATGCACCTTTGAAATTAATTCCAGAAATAATGGCTGCTTATCATGATCATCCATTAAGTGGTCATTTTGGTACCGGACGTACATGGCCTATGTTAAGAAACACATATTATTGGCCACGTATGAAAGAAACAATAATATCTTATATTAAATCATGTGATAAATGTTCACAATTTAATGTGGATCGGCATAAACCTCCACGATTTTTACAACCTATTCAGCCACCTAATGAAGTTTTTCAAGTACTAGGTATGGATTGGTGGGGACCCACCACCACTTCGCTTTCTAGAAATCGATATGTTTTAGTTATAACTGATCGTTTATCTGGTTATGTTTTTGCTAAAGCATCACCTACAAATACAGCTCAAGATACTGCTCGCATCTTAATGGAAGAAATTATCTTAGTTCATGGTTCACCNATCGATTAGGTGGTCATATTCAATGAACATACACACCATTTAAACGAAATTTTGTCAATCTTAGCTAAAGCCAACTTTCAAGTTAATCCTGACAAATGTTCCATTGCTGTTCAAGAAATCGATTTTTTAAGCCATACAATCAATGAACAATGCATTAAACCTAATGGTGATAAAATTAAAGCTATTGTCGATTTACCAACTCCAAAAACACTTAAAGAAGCCAATGAATTTTTAGGAAAAATTAATTGGTATAGAAAGTTTATTCCTAATTTTGCTCGTATAGCGGCACCATTACACAAAGTTACCAACAAAACAAAACATCATCGTCATGACTTTAAATGGGGACCTGATCAACAACAATCATTTGAGGAATTTAAACGTCTGCTGACAACATATCCATTATTTTTAGAATATCCAGATTTATCAACCCCATTTGTTCTAACAACTGATGCATCAAATATCGGAATAGGTGGAATTTTACGACAAGATACACCGAATGGCACAAAAATTAATTATTTTAAATCACGTCTTTTAAATGATACTGAACGTAAATATGATACAATTGAACAAGAGGCATTAGCTATGTTTTGGTGCATATCTGAACTTTGCTCATACATAGGTGATTCTGATTTTATTATCGAAACTGATCATAAACCACTCGAAAATTTTCATAAAAAACAAATCAATAATACACGAGTAATGAATTGGCTTTTTAAATTACAAGATATGCTGCCACAAATTATTGCAGTCAAACATCGCCCAGGTGCACATAACGCAGCTGCTGATTATATTTCACGACATTTTCCACCATCAGCATCTACCAACATTAATCCATCTACCACAGCTGTAATATATGATGATTGGCCAATTGGTACTGAACATTGGGATGACCAAGTACCCAAGCCACAACGTACACAATGTCCTCAGCCATCTATTTTAGAACACACTTGTACTCGTACTGCGAGTATCAATGCAGAAATTAATGCTGTTACAACCAGAGCACAATCAAAACTTCACGCTCAACCACATTCCTCTTCACCCAATACATCATCCACATCAACTACATCTCAATCCACGTGTTTGTCTCCGCCGGTCACTACTACATTACATGATTTTAGTTTATCACGTATACGTTCTGAACAAGCACAGGACGTAATTATTCAAAAAATAATTCAACAAATTCGAAATAATCGTCGCTATGAATCGTTTATTATTCAGCATGGTATTCTGTATAAATTAGTTAGACGCGATGATACTACTATTAAACTTGTTTATGCACCTTCGAAATTAATTCCCGAAATAATGACTGCTTATCATGATCACCCATTAAGTGGTCATTTTGGTACTGGACGTACATGGTCTATGCTAAGAAACACATATTATTGGCCACGTATGAAAAACACAATAACATCTTATATTAATTCATGTGATAAATGTTCACAATTTAATGTGGATCGGCATAAACCTCCAGGACTCTTACAACCTATTAAACCACCGAATGAAGTTTTTCAAGTATTAGGTATGGATTGGTGGGGGCCCACCACCACTTCGCTTTCTGGAAATCGATATGTTTTAGTTATCACTGATCGTTTATCTGGTTATGTTTTTGCTAAAGCTTCACCTACAAATACAGCTCATGATACTGCTCGTATATTAATGGAAGAAATTATCTTAGTTCATGGTTCACCTGACACAATTATTACTGATCAAAGAACACACTTCAAGAACGAACTCTTACAAGCTATTTCACATTTAGTTGGTTGTAAACACATTTTTTCGACACCATATCATCCACAAACAAATGGGCAAACTGAACGATGGAATTCGACATTCGTAACACAAATCGCCAAATATTGTAATACTGATCTAAACAATTGGGAGACATTTTTACCATCTATCGTTTGTGCTTACAATAATGGTATACACAGCTCAACTGAAATTAGTCCATATCAACTAGCATTCGGACGACGACCACGTCATCCATTTACTCCTCCTGCAACTACATTCGTTTTCAGCAAACCACATGATTATTGGACGCAAGTGATACAATACAGAAATGCAGCTTTAAAACAAGCAAAACAACATATAATACATCAACAAGAACTATCAAAAACTCGTTTTGATAAAAATCGATCGCATCCAACTTTCGTTCTAGGTGACCTTGTATGGATAAAAAATTTTGTTGGACGGCACAAACTTACAGCTCGATACACGGGTCCGGCTCGAATCGTTCGAATTCTCTCCCCGGTATCATTTATAGTTGAAGATGAACATTTACAGCAATTTCAAGTGCATTCAAACAATATCAGACGTGTATATTCTCGTTAATCATTCCCGACGTGATACAATTCTTTAACGAAATTCATCTGCTCACATCAAATACTCACACGATTTATTTAGTATTCATATCTTTTTATCTTATTTATTTCCACATTCTTTAACTTTCATCTCAACAATGCATCAGCTATCTTCTTCTCCTTGAAAATTTTGTTTTTCAAATACTTTTCTTACAGCTCGCTGTTACATTACACCTACCACTCATTCCGATCGTATCATCAACAGTTTTACTCCTAATTAATATCTAACATTTGTTTTCTCCCCTCGTCCTTCAATTTCTTTCTCATCAGCTTCAATATTTGTCCTCTTCTTGCACACTCTTTCCCGTTCAAAATATGTACTATCTAATTTTTTTTTCGGTTTTACTTTTGCTATGTTCGTTTCGGATTTTTTTTCTCTTTTCATGATGTTCGAATTGTTTCAATATCGTTTCTTATCTGTTACTTTGTAACTTTTTAGGAGGGGGACGTGTTATGTCAGCAGAGACATCTTCTGACATAAGACGGCCATCTTTATCTGTCTATCATAGTTAGGAGATGGAACCAACCGGTGGAAGAGAAGAGAGAGAGAGAAAGAACATTCTTTGCTGCTTTTGTTTTTTGGATTCATTCGTTTGTTTTTGTGAAGAAAGAAGGAATAAAGAAAACGAGGAAAAGGACCTAACACACGTCATCACAACTATAAAATTGGAACATGAATGCTAAAGCTCTCTAATCAACTGTAGTTCTACAAAGACAAATATTCAGTGATGCGACGCGAGATGATTCGATCAACAGCAGCAAACGACGGATCTGAACTACATATCCTACAGTAATCCCAACGTCAAGCATCAGCGGTAACAGATAACATAAGAATTTGGAAAATAATTCCGCTATAGAATTTTTGAATGTTTGGAGATACGTCTAGTTATACATGTTAATTAGCTGAAAAGAAGAGTCTTAGTATGTGAATCATCAGGGTGATAATTTCATTAAACCTTGCAAAAGAACTTCGACAAACTTTCTCTTGAAGTTGTAACCTCAGTAAATTTGACTGCTGAAGTAAAATTGCAGCAACCTGTATACTTTCAATATGATAAATAATTTGTGTCATCATTAAGAAGTAAGAGATAAGGGAAAAGAAACGTTCAAACAATAGAATCATTTTATAGCTTCAGAGAATCCGCAAAAATGAAGACCAGCAAACAAGATTTAGGCGTGAGACATGGTCTTGCTCGTACGTCTCTAGTTACTTGGATGTTCTTTTGTATGCAGTAGTTACGGATGTTTCATATCGAATCGATGTTTTTAGCTTAGTAATTCGCCTATTCTTTCCTTGCATGGTTAATCTTATCTATCAAGTAATGAATCGATATTATATTGCTATGTCCATTTGTTTTTGTTCTTTTTCTAGTTGACTGATTTCTTAAGCCAACAAATACGATATAGTTAGTAATAAAAGAAAGTTTTTTTAAGGAAAAGATTATTGGAATATTCCTGTAACATCGGTGAAAATCCACACGCTCTCTCTTTTACCTATATCATATTTTTACCATTATTAATAGTCAAATGAAGAAATGAAAAGCATCATGTTTCTATAATAGTAAGAACTTCACACAGTCGTGAAGTCTACTGTTTCCCTCTTGGAATGCTCATATCTTCTAATATGAGAATTTATTCATTTGTTGTAAGTTACATATAAAATGAAAATATACATTAAAATTTTTTTGCATCTAAAAATCGGTTTAAGGTCAATTATTGCTGTTGCTATTGAGCCATCTTTTGGTCTCTTCTAATGAAGATGATTCTTCTCCGTACTTTGAAAACCAGACACCTTTCTCATATTCAGCTAATTGATCAAGAAAATTNGTAATTATTCAAAAAATAATTCAACAAATTCGAAATAATCGTCGCTATGAATCGTTTATTATTCAAAATAGTATTCTGTATAAATTAGTTAACCGAGATGATACTACTATTAAACTTGTTTATGCACCTTCGAAATTAATTCCCGAAATAATGACTGCTTATCATGATCATCCATTAAGTGGTCATTTTGGTACTGGACGTACATGGTCTATGCTAAGAAATACATATTATTGGCCACGTATGAAAGATACAGTAACATCTTATATTAAATCATGTGATAAATGTTCACAATTTAATGTGGATCGGCATAAACCTCCAGGACTTTTACAACCTATTCAGCCACCTAATGAAGTCTTTCAAGTACTAGGTATGGATTGGTGGGGTCCCACCACTACTTCGCTTTCTGGAAATCGATATGTTTTAGTTATAACTGATCGTTTATCTGGTTATGTTTTTGCTAAAGCATCACCTACAAATACAGCTCAAGATACTGCTCGCATCTTAATGGAAGATATCATCTTAGTTCATGGTTCACCCGACACAATTATTACTGATCAAGGAACACACTTCAAGAACGAACTGCTACAAGCTATTTCAAATTTAGTTGGCTGTAAACAAATTTTTTCGACACCATATCATCCACAAACAAATGGACAAACTGAAAGATGGAATTCGACATTCGTCACACAAATCGCCAAATATTGTAATACTGATCTCAACAATTGGGACGCATTTTTACCATCTATCGTTTATGCTTACAATAATGGTATACATAGCTCAACTGGAATTAGTCCATATCAATTAGCATTCGGACGACGACCACGTCATCCATTTAATCCTCATGCAACTACCTTCGTTTTCAGCAAACCACATGATTATTGGACGCAAGTAATACAATACAGAAATACAGCTTTAAAACAAGCAAAACAACACATAATACATCAACAAGAACTATCAAAAAACTCGTTTTGATAAAAATCGATCGCATCCGAATTTCGTTCTAGGTGACCTTGTGTGGATGAAAGTTTTTGTTGGACGACACAAACTTAAAGCTCGATACACTGGTCCAGTTTGAATCGTTCGAATTCTCTCACCCCTATCATTCATAGTTGAAGATGAACATTTGCAACAATTTCAAGTGCATTCAAACAATATCAGACGTGTATATTCTCGTGAATCATTCCTGACGTGATACAATTTTTCTAACGAAATTCACGTGCTCACATCAAATACTCACACGATTTATTTAGTATTAATATCTTTTTATCTTGATTATTTTAAATTTTCTTAACTTTCATCTCAACAATGCCTCAGCTATCTTCTTGAAAATTTTGTTTCTCAAATACTTCTCTTGCAGCTCGCTGTTACATTACATCGACCACTCACTCCGATGGTATCATAAACATTTTTACTCCTAATTAGTACCTAGCATTTGTTTTCTCCCCTCATACTTCAATTCCTTTCTTATTAGCTTTTATATTTGTCTTCTTCTCGCACACTGTTTCGCGTTCAACATATGAATTATCTAAATTTTTTTTTGTGGTTTTATTTTTCCTAGATTCATTTCGGATTTTTTCTTTTCATGGTGTTCGAATTGTTTCAATATCGTTTCTTATCTTTTACTTTGTAACTTTTTGGAGGGGTAAGTGTTATGTCAGTAGAGACATCTCCTGACATAAGACGGCCATCTTTATCCCTCTATTATAGTTAGGAGATGGAACTAACCGGTGGAAGAGGAGAGAAAGAGAGAAAGAACATTCTTTGCTGCTTTTTGTTTTTGATGGATTCAGTTGTTTGTTTTTGTGAAGAAAGAAGGAATAAAGAAACTGGGGAAAAAGGACCTAACAGAATAGTTTCTTTTCATAAAGTTAATTACGAACTATAGCTATATTTTGATACATTTTCACGAACGTTTGACAAGGAAAATAAACCTTTGACATAAAATAGGCTTTTTTCATAAAGCTCATTACGAACTACAGTTAGATTTCAACGTATTTGTAAAAACCTTTGAGATGGAAAATAAACTTTTGATATAGAAAACAAAAAAAAAATTACATAATGATCATAAGACTTATCGAACTTAATCATATAACTTATAAAAAAAAATATCTATTTGTAAACAAGTATTTACACGGCAGTAAATGTCACGGCAGTAAATCATGTAAACCAATGTTAACAGGTTGAAAAGCTAAATATTCCAAGAGCCTACGTGCCCATTAATACTGGTTAAGAAAATCGTAATAGTACTTACATCCAACAAATTAGCTTTATTCGCGTCTGCACGACGCTTCCTTCCTTGGCATTTGTGTTTNGTAATTATTCAACAAATAATTCAACAAATTCGAAATAATCGTCGCTATGAATCGTTTATTATTCAACATGGTATTCTGTATAAATTAGTTAACCGCGATGATACTACTATTAAACTTGTTTATGCACCTTCGAAATTAATTCCCGAAATAATGACTGCTTATCATGATCATCCATTAAGTGGTCATTTTGGTACTGGACGTACATGGTCTATGCTAAGAAACACATATTATTGGCCACGTATGAAAGATACAGTAACATCTTATATTAAATCATGTGATAAATGTTCACAATTTAATGTGGATCGGCGTAAACCTCCAGGATTTTTACAACCTATTAAACCTCCTAATGAAGTTTTTCAAGTATTAGGTATGGATTGGTGGGGACCCACCACCACTTCGCTTTCTGGAAATCGATATGTTTTAGTTATCACTGATCGTTTATCTGGTTATGTTTTTGCTAAAGCATCACCTACAAATACAGCTCATGATACTGCTTGTATATTAATGGAAGAAATTATCTTAGTTCATGGTTCACCCGACACAATTATTACTGATCAAGGAACACACTTCAAGAACGAACTCTTACAAGCTATTTCACATTTAGTTGGTTGTAAACAGATGTTTTCGACACCATATCATCCACAAACAAATGGGCAAACGGAACGATGGAATTCGACATTCGTAACACAAATCGCCAAATATTGTAATACTGATCTAAACAATTGGGACACATTTTTACCATCTATCGTTTATGCTTACAATAATGGTATACATAGCTCAACTGGAATAAGTCCATATCAACTAGCATTCGGACGACGACTACGTCAACCATTAAATCCTAATGCAACTACCTTCGTTTTCAGCAAACCACATGATTATTGGACGCAAGTGATACAATACAGAAATGCAGCTTAAAAACAAGCAAAACAACACATAATACATCAACAAGAACTATCAAAAACTCGTTTTGATAAAAATCGATCGCATCCGAATTTCGTTCTAGGTGATCTTGTATGCACGAAAGTTTTCGTTGGACGACACAAACTTAAAGCTCGATACACTGGCCCGGCTCGAATCGTTCGAATTCTCTCCCCACTATCATTCATAGTTGAAGATGAACATTTACAACAATTTCAAGTGCATTCAAACAATATCAGGCGTGTATATATTCTCGTTAATTATTCCAGACGTGATACAATTTTTTTAACGAAATTCATCTGCTCACATCAAATACTCACACGACTTATTCAGTATCAATATCTTTTTATCTTGTTTATTTCAACTTTTCTTAACTTTCATCTCAACAATGCCTCAGCTATCTTCTTCTTGAAAATTTTGTTTCTCAAATACTTCTCTTACAGCTCGCTGTTATATTACATCTACCACTCACTCCGATCGTATCATAAACATTTTTACTCCTAATTAGTACCTAACATTTGTTTTCTCCCCTCGTACTTCAATTCCTTTCTCATCAGCTTTTATATTTGTCCTCTTCTCGCACACTGTTTCGCGTTCAAAATATGAATTATCTAATTTTTTCGGTTTTTATTTTTGCTATATTCATTTCGGATTTTTTCTTTTCATGGTGTTCGAATTGTTTCAATATCGTTTCTTGTCTTTTACTTTGTAACTTTTTTGGAGGGGGGAAGTGTTATGTGAGTAGAGACATCTCCTGACATAAGACGGCCATCTTTATCCCTCTATCATAGTTAGGAGATGGAACCAACCGGTGGAAGAGGAGAGAAAGAGAGAAAGAACATTCTTTGCTGCTTTTTGTTTTTGATTGATTCAGTTGTTTTGTTTTTGTGAAGAAAGAAGGAATAAAGAAAACGGGTATAGGACCTAACAGTAGGGATTGTTTAGAAAGATTATGCAGAGCTTTTCATGGCGTATCTTTTAAAAGAAAAATCAAGATTTTATCGATTTCTCAAGCCGAGATATATCGGAAATAAAAAGTGATGCAAACATGTTGGGATACTCGGTAGTAACATCACGCAGATCTTCACTTTTAACGATCTAAAAAAATCATCCGCGCAAGTCAGTTGAGATTTGCTTATATTGATTTTGTAAAGTTTTTTTTCGACGCGTCTTTTAAAAGAAAAATCAAGATATTATCATTCTGCTAAACCGAGATATATGCAAATAAAAGTCTTTCAAACGTTTTCAACACGTGGGAAGTATCACTATCATTTAGTTCTTCCATATTGAGTATAGAAAGAACCATCAGAACAAGTCAGTAGTAATTGGATTATACAAATTTTGTAGAGCTTTTCTCAGTGCATCTTTTAAAAGATAAAACAAGATTTTGTCATTTCGTTAAGTCGAGCTTTATGCGAAATGAAAAATATCGCAAAACTTTTGCAACACCCGGTAATTCACAATTATATCCACTATTTTGTCGTTTTACAGTGATTGTTGTCACTAATTTGTCAATTGTTAGTAAAGTTACCTGGTAAGTACAAAGACTGTTTTCAATCAGCAAGGAGTTATTAGATGACATTTTTGCAGTACTTACGTAAAATATGTATTGTTTTAATTCGAGCAGCCTGTAGCTAAATAAGACCATTTGAGGAATAGAACAAATTTGCTTTCATCTAGCAAAGGACAGAACGTCCAAACAGTTGAAAGTTAGCCGCTGCCATTCATGGACAGCTCATTAGAAATTTCATGAAGACAAATGAGGCGTTTTTCATACTAAATTATAACAAATTTTTCAATATAAAACGTTGTTGCCAGGTCATATTGCTTTTGGACATCACTTAAATCTTATAGGGCTTTTAATGCAGTCTTGATTTATTGGTAACGATACCATAGTTGGCTGCAATGTACAGCCTTTAGTGAAACACGAACTGAAAGGACCCACGCAGGCAAAATGTATATAAGCAGAAAAGACGGGAGACATTTTACGTGCATTTCGGCCCCCAACAAGATGAAGGCAGATTTATCTGAAACTTTCAGCAAATACTCAGCTATATACCATTAGCCACCTTACAAAATTTCAACTTGATCCGTTGAACTTTTCCTTAACTTTCACCACACCAGAAATATACATATTAATACCCTCTAGGGGTCACCTTGTAGACCTGCGTTCCCCACTATACGATTCAGAACCGGCCTGATTGTTTTAGGGTCACTAGCAATAAGTGAGGGCTACAATATTGCAGGAACATGAGGTCCACAAAAAATCTGTCTTTGTATCGATTTGAAGTGCACAGTACCCAAAATCCCTGGAAAATCCCTGTAGAGGTAACCTTATTGACCTTGGTTCTCCACTATACGACTCAGAACCGGCGTGATTTTTTTAGGATCACTAGGGATCAGTGAGAGCTACAATATTGCAAGGACATGACGTCCACAACAATCCTGTTGTAGTGTCGACTTCAACTACACACTGCCAAAAATCCATGAAAAAGCACGGTAGAGGTATCCTAGCTGATCTTCGTTCTCCACTATACCATTCAGAACCGAAGAGATTTTTTCAGAGTCCTTCGGAATAAGTGAGGGCTACAATATTGCAAGTACATGAAGTCCTCAAAAACTTGTCTTGCTATGGATTCGAAGTGGAGACTGCGAAAAATCTCGGAAAAAGATCAATAGAAGGTACATTGTTCGCTTTATTTCCCTAATATATGATTCGCGGCAAGAGTTCGTTTACTAGAGTCAGTGAGAATCACTAGTTGTTACAATCTGCCACACATACGCGTTCAAGCAAAAGCTACTCTGGCATGACAACTGCGTACATAGCGTCGACTATCCAAGGAAAAGTGCCTAACGCATCGATATGGATATGGACTTGGTGTTGCCTTACTGCTGAAAAGGAGCTGCATATTGGCCCACTCCGATCCAGACAGCGCAACCACGTATAATCGTTTCTAGTTCTTTTCTCACATCCTTCCACGCAACATCGGGATCGCAACTTAGGAGAATGTTATCCAGAAAGTGGTTTAATAGAATCACATCCAACATTACCAGCGAGGTAAACGAACCCGATAGTTCATATTCCATAAAATCGAGTACGATTGAAAATCACTGTATTAGCACTAATTAATCCAACTGTTTGATATCTTCTCACGTCCTTCGTTCCACAGTTGGTCTCTACATAGCTCTCCTAGTTAGTACTTTACTGTGTCGAACGTTCTTAATATTCGTCCAAGGGCTACACAACTATTCAGAAGCGTGACTCCGATATCGAGAGAAAAACTTATCCGACATTCTTTCTATCACAATTTCGACTACTGCTTTGAATCCTCTGTACATCAACTGGTTATTCCCGCAGATTTTACTCGGATTGAAGTGTATGTGATACCCTAGTCCTGACTGATTCCTAGTAACTTTAAAAAAAACACTCCCGCTCTGAACCGTATAGTGAAGAACGAAGGTCAGCAAGGTTACCTGCACCGGACTTTTTCATGGATTTTTAGCAATGTGTACTTCAGGTCCATACAAGGACAGGATTTTTGTGGACGTCATGTCCTTGCAGTATTGTAGCCCTCACTTATTGCTAGTGACCCTAAAAAAATAAGGCCGGTTCTGAACCGTATAGTGGAGAACGAAGGTCCACAACGTAACCCCTAGAGGGTATTTATATGTATATTTCTGGTGTGGTGAAAGTAAAGGAAAAGTTCAACGGATCAAGTTGAAATTTTGTATGGTGGCTAATGGTATATAGCTGAGTATTTGCTGAAAGTTTCAGATAAATCTGCCTTCATCTTCTTGGGGGGCCGAAATCCACGTAAAACGTCTCCCGTCCTTTGCATCTCCCGCTCACAGACGGTGTCAGATGGGCTTCAGAAATGCCACAGATCACGACGGACGAACTCAAGAGCCATCATAGGTTATGAGAGACAAATTAAATGGAAGACTAGTGGTTATAGGTCATTTAAATCTTATAAAATATATCAATAGCTACAGTATCAAGGTTTTCAACTACTAAAAGCTACATTAAATTATTACAGTAGGATATGGAGTAAAAGAGTGTTATGTCTTTAGTAACAACAGGTAGCTCATGTTTCACATTTGTAATCCTAAAAGGATGGCGCTAACAGCTTTTGGATCCATAATTAGCAAGCTCATTTTTTTCTCCCTAGAAAGGATATTTAATTCTACATTAGACTATATAAGAGCCATTCCGCATAAGCCACGACCGACTCTCACAGAAGCTGCTCAATCGAGGTCGTCAGATTTTGCTCAATTTAAGTTATGTTGTAGAGGGAAGAGTTCTAAGAATTTTGACACAAGCTGTTTGAAAAAATATCGTTCCGTTCTCGAGATATTCAAACTTTTCTGAGGGCACCATCACCAAAAAAGTGCATTTTTTACTATTTTTTGTGACATTTATATCTCATCAAGTATACATGTATTTGACTTGAAATTTTTACTGTGAATAGATATCATAATTTTGTATTATCAAAAAAAAAAATTAGCTCAAATGGATGAACCGTTGATGAGTTGACCAATACCACCAAGTGCACGACAAAATTGTCATTTTTTTATATTTTGTGCACTTGCATATTTCATGAAAGGATCAAACTAGAGAGCTGGAATTTTGGTCATAGTGAGATCTC